TGTAAGGAAAAATAACTTTGAATAATACAAACTATCTTCCATAAACTAAGAATAATACGTGCTTTGAAAATAACTTGCAATAATACCAAAAGTGATATAGAGCATTTTTTCACCAAAAATTTAGTCATTTAATTCACCAAAAACTAATATTAAAATATCAAATAAGTGACTTTATTTCCGAATATCATTTATTTGGTGGTTTGCAATTAGTTTTCGATGTCTAAATGACTAGATTTTTTGTTAAAAGTGACTCCATATTATTTTTGTAAATATAATATGGAGTATAATTTTTGTTGAAATAAATGGTTTATGTTGGGTATATATAATACTCCGTAGAATATTAAATGTAAATGATTTTATTAATATTAAAAATGCATGCTTGTACTAATGTATAAATGTAATATTGTTTATTATGCATATAAATGATAAATTATGCTATAAATGGTGAAAATGTGTAACTATAATATTCTATATACCTGGATATAAAGCGTCTATGTGGTAAAGTGTAAATGCTTCTATAAATGTTGTAAAAACATGCAATTGATGTAGTGACGTATAAAATGTGATATTGATATTGTTTGTTGATTTAATTGTTACATGTTTGATGTAAGCATTGTCATAAATGTTTTAAATACGTGTGAAAAGGTGAAAATGTAAGACACGACAAACATAATTGAGTTAAATTGTAAACCACTGGAATTAAAAAACATAAAGTTGAAATGTTTGAAAAAGAGTAACGGCAAATATTTTCTTTGAAAGGAAAAGTGATATATATTAATTCAAACTATCGTTCTCCAATTGGAGTACAATGTAATGAGGTGGAAAACTATAAGAATAGTACGGATCCAGTTGCAATAGGGCAGCCCTTGCTAAAGAGTGAGCTACCTTATTCGCGGATCTTTTACAATGGGTGACTTCAATGCAGCTTCATTATGAAGAATGTGTCTAATATCTTCAAGAATTGTATCGAAGTAGGAATCCCCTTCACGATCCATAATACCCGAGGTGATCATCATAGAATCTGTCTCCAACTTCACTTGCTGCCAACGTTGCTCTTTGATCCACCTAATTACCTCCCGAACACTGATGGCCTCCGTTACGGCTGCCGTCCAGTTTGCTCGAACGGTCTGGCTGCCACCTGCCAAGAAATCTCCTTGGGCATTTCTAGCAACCCATGCCCAAGCCCTCCTTCCGCTTCCGGCCCCCAAAGCTGCATCCACGTTTACTTTAATGCTACCCTCTGGCGGCTTCCTCCACCGAGATATGGATTCCCTGGCCTGATGCTCAATTTTAGTGCGTTGCGCCTCTATCCAACTTCCCAGCATGCTTTTCCCCTCCTCAGCTATTTGCCGCCATCCTAGAATTTTATGTTTCCATACCTTTGTATTGCGAGCTTTCCACAAATTCCAGAGGATGACCACAAAGAGGCTGAGCTTTTCCTGCTTCATATTATCAAAAAAAATCTTCACCCAATTTTCAAAGGTGTCTCCCGTTCTAATAAAACTATATCCGAGATGACGCCACACTCCTCGTGCTACATGACATCCACGGAAAAGGTGAAGTTCCGTTTCAGTCTCTTCCGCACAAAAGTTGCACATCCCATCCACTTCCACACGCCTTTTAAGGAGATTAACTGATGTGAGAAGGATGCCGGACATAACCTGCCAGAAAAAACATTTAATTTTAGGGGGGATATTTAAATTCCACACCTTGGTCCACCCAGTCCATCCTGATTCCTGGTACTCTCCTTTAAGCTTTCTGTAACCACTCTTCACTGTGTAGATTCCCCGCGGGTCTGCGTTCCACCATATCCCGTCCACTACCCTTCTTGTGCTCAGAGGAATGTTCAAGATATTTTGATTATTTTCCTTCTCTTCAACCGAGAACAAAGATGTGATTCTGTCTACATTCCACCCATCACCTCTCTCATTGAGCAACGCGGCCACGTTCATATCTGAGATTCCTATTGGCAGTGGGGTGTGGATCCTCCCATCATCCGTTCCGGGTAGCCACCTTTCTTTCCAGACCGAGATCGATTGGCCCTTTCCCACTTTCCGGCGCAATCCTCCCTCCATCAAACCTTTAGTGTGAATAATGCTACTCCAAATGAAGGAGGGGTTGCCCCCCGTTTTCGCCTGTAAGAAAGAACAGTTAGGATAATACTTTGCCTTATAGATTCGGCCGACTAAGGACTCAGGTTGTTTAATTAGGCGCCATGTTTGTTTCCCCAACATTGCGATATTAAATTCCCTCAGCGAGCGAAAGCCGAGTCCTCCCTTCTTCTTAGGGTAGCACATGGCCTGCCAGGACTTCCACCGGATGCCTCTCCTAGTTGAGTCGGAACCCTTCCACCAGTACCCATTCATAATAGTTTCAATTTGAGCACACAAATCCTTGGGGAGTAGAAAGACATTCATTGCATAAGATGGCATGGCCTGAATGACTGTCTTGAGCATAATTTCCCGGCCTGCTTTGGATAAGAATTTATTATTCCAGTTTCCAATCCTGTTGATAATTCGCTCCTTTAAATAACTCAGAATTTCCATCTTTTTCCTACCCACAAGAGTCGAGAGTCCTAGGTACCGTGGCCTACTATCTTCCGTATTAACCTGCAAAAAATTGCAAATAAATCCCTTCAAATCCTCGCTAATGTTTGGACTAAACATTAGCGAAGATTTTTGATAGTTAACTTGCTGGCCTGATTCCTCCTCATAATATCGGAGAATATTTTTGATCGTCTGACATTCCCCTTCACGAGCCCTGAAGAATAAATAACTATCATCTGCAAAAAAGAGATGTGACACTCTCGGTACACGTCTAGCCACCGCTATTCCCAACACATTACCCATATCCTCCTGTCTACGAATAAGGGTACTCAAACCCTCCGCTATCAAAATGAAGAGATATGGTGATAGCGGGTCACCTTGTCTAAGCCCTCTGGTCGGGATTATAGGTCCTATCATCTCACCGTCAAACAGAACATAATATTCCACGGAGGAGCAACATGCCATAATTAAATTGATCCATTTTGGGTCAAAATTCATGCCATGCATGACTCGTTTCAGATAACTCCATTCGACACGATCATAAGCTTTGCTCATATCAAGCTTTAGGGCCACCAGACCCTCTTTTCCATGTCGCTTTTGCTTCAAATGGTGAATTGTTTCAAATGCTATCATCACATTATCAACAATCGAGCGCCCCGGGATAAAAGCACTTTGATTAGCCGAGATAAGGCCATTAAGAAGGCCTTTTAATCTATTAGCTAGTACTTTAGTAAAGATTTTTATTAGCACATTGCAAAGGGCGGTCAGTCTTCAATCCCCCATCGTTTCAGGAGTTTCTTTTTTGGGAATTAAGACCAGGTGTGTGCTGTTAACCTCTTTTGGAATATAGCCAGTAGGGAACAAACCTTGACAATACTTGACAATGTCCTCGCCTAATATATCCCAATACTGTTGGTGAAAACCCGGGTTCAACCCATCCAGTGCAGTAATTGGCCTTGTAAGGGTACTATTCTGTTCTGCATTTACTTGAGCCAAGCCAGTCAAGATATCCCCTTCCGCCTCTCCTCTCCCTGTCGAAAAAAGGGTCGAGTAAAACTCCTGTATCATATTACCCATTCTATTTTTATTCCTCTCCCACTGTCCGGAAGGTAATAATAAGCCCTTCATTTTGTTGCGCCTTCTGCGTTGTTTAACCGAATTATGGAAAAACTTCGTGTTTCTGTCTCCATCCTGAAGCCAAAAATTTTTAGCCCGTTGTTTCCAGAAGATATTTTGCCGCTGCAAGAGGTCCACCAGAACGTTTTTGACCCTATGAAATTCCCCTGCGTTCCACCAAACATCAATTCTTGCTTGGAATCCCACCCGATGATGTTTACTCCATAACTCCGGTTCAACACCACAGCCCAAAAGGTGTTGCCAGACCTCCAAATTGCCGGACGTCGCCCAAGCTCGCTGCACAGTCTCCCTGCAACCTTCCTCCCGCAGCCATATATTTTCGAATTTAAAGATCCTCTTCCTCCTCCTGGTTCCTGTTTTCAGCAGCCTTATATATAGCATCAGATGGTCACTGGTTGGTTCTTCCATCGAGGTAGCTTGATATTCCCCGAAGGTGTTCATCCAACTCTCATTTGCCAACAACTTGTCCAGCTTCTTTTCAATCCAAAATTGGGTTCCCCGGCCTCGTTCCCACGTTAATTGACAACCTTCAAAGGTTACATTTTGTAAACCGTTGTGTTGAATCGCCTCCCGAAAACCACGCAGCATCCAAGGGGACTGCGGCACTCTGCCCCGCCATTCGGATTCGGAAACAATGTCGTTGAAGTCTCCCATAACAAGCCAAGGCTTGTCCGAGAGCAGTGATAGGTGTCGGAGCAGCGCTCATGATTCTCTTCTCCTGGCTCGGTCCGGATAGCCATAAAATCCTGTGAAACGCCATTTCGTTTCATCATCATCAAATTGAATTAGACAATCGATGTAATTGACTGCCTGGCCGATGATTTCCACCGAGATGTTGTCACGCCACAATAAACAGAGACCCTCCCCCCAAACCATGACTATCAATAGCGAAGCATCTGTGAAAACCCAGTTGAGTACCAATTGCTTCGCATCGAGTCCCCTGTATTTTCGTCTCCATCAAGAATAGAATACCTGGGCCTTTAGCTTGTACGGTGTCTGATAAAACCTGAACGGTTGCAAGATTACCCAGTCCGCGACAGTTCCACGAGACGATGCTCATCCTTCCAGTCCCACTTCTTCCTCCGACGTTAGAGACCCAGCGAAGCCAAAAAACAGAGAGCCAAACAATGCCGTGCTAGCACCGCCGCCGCCGCCCAAACTAAGCCCTAATCAGAGTAACAGCAAATATAGAACACAAATGATGTAGCAAAAAATGTCATTGCTAAAGAAACATATGTGGTAATAGAAGCACAATTAAGGAAAACTTGATATATTGAAAGTTTGAAACATTACACAGAAAGTTTTTTTTAAACAAGTAGCGAATTTACAAAAAGTATTGCTCAATTAATAGAAGCCACAATTTTCACCTAAAATTACAAAAATGCCCTATTGTATGCTATACACCATACAACCAGTTGTACGATATACGAACTCGTGTGCGTTTTGGGATGGGGACAACGTGAAAACACCATCCCGCAGTATAAATTCCCGTTATCAACCGTCCACTTGATGTATGGGTAGAAATGAAAGGACTTTGTTTCTTGCTATTATATGTTCATGAAGTCAACAACGATATATGGAGTTCTTGGTATACATCAAATTACCATGATAATCAATACAATGATCAATCATCTACCTTCTGCTATATTGTGCGTCTAAACAACCCAGTTCTCTTTAGTTCTATGTTTTCCTTCTCTCTATCACTACACAACGCTAAGCTTGCCAGAAAAAAAAACAACTAAAAAGAGGGAACCAAAAAAACATTGAAGGAAAACCAAAAAACTTGTCTGCAAGCTTGCCAGCTGATGGGCTTCTATTCAACTGTTGTCAGTGAACTGCTAAAGATCAACTGAAATCTATCAATCTGCACGTGGTAATAAGAAACTAAATCCTGAATTTTCACGAATAAGCGGTGGCGGTTCTATATCTGAGATATCAATCTGCTCCATTGGCTTCGATAGATCGTCCACTGAGAATGGTATGCTGCAACATACCCAACATTAACACATCATTGGTTAATGTAATTAAACAATATGACATGATATCATAAAAGTAGGATTTGTGGTCCTCTCCCAATCTGAGCGAGCATTGATTAAATGAACCACATTTTATCATTGGTGTATCTTGTTAAAAGTCTCAGATTGAACCAAGTTGTAAAATGTCTTCTCTATGTGAAGATGTTATTGTCTGTACCAAGATGACATTCTGTATAATTTTTCCCACATATTATAGAATCAAACAACATGATTTTGTTTGTGTGAACAAAAAAATGTTGTACAACTTGGTTGTACACCAAAGTTACTCTAAAAAGAAACATATGAGTTAATGGAGCATTGAGTTAGGCTCATGCATCGACCAAATTATATTTTAATTGATCAAATTCTGAGATGCTTCTTATAACACAAAGGATATGTAAAATGGACTTAAATCCAACCTCGAATCATCATCTAGCAGAAAAGAACTGCTGACAGCATTGTTTGAATCTTCGGTCATTATACCTCTCATATTGGATATAACCTGTCAAAGCAAACAACTATTCACGATTGATGAACTGCCTTCTTAAAGCTAATAAGGTGTAATATACATCTGACGAAGCATAATGGTTGTGGAATCAAATAAAGAAAACAATCCTGAAATGATAATTTTTTTTGTAAACTTGGATCTTTTAAGTATCTTACTTCGGGTGAAAGACTGTGAGTGCCATATTTGTCATCCCAGTACATTGTACTGATTCTGTACAACTGTTGAACACTAAGCATCTGCAAGTGGTCACTTGTAAGAACAATATGTAACACATATCTGGCCACATCATTTGGAGGATGTAATGGTAAAGTGTACTTACAGGGCATAAATCATGGCTTATCTCATCAAGTGTTTTCTTCGGTTTCTGGTGAATGACCTAATAATGATGTAGAAACCATCATATTTGTCACACTTTTATTTACAACATTTAGACTGGAGCTGCAAAGAGAATCATATATATACCAGAAATCCTATTGCTTGCCTTATGTGTTTGAGCTCTTCCCATGCTGAACCTGCATACTGTGAAACACATTGTCTTATTTGAGAGAATATGTTATGAATCAGTTGGGTTGTGTCTAATTCAAGCTCGGAAGAACTCTCTTCAGGATTTTTCAACCCTAATCAGAGAGTTCAATAATTCATAGTTTAGCCAATACAGGACACACTACATCAGAGTTATGCCCTGTAAGTACATCAGATTTTTCAACATTGGTGCTATTAAATTGACTGATTTTACCACAAAAGGGGAAAAGAGTTACCTCATCAGTTGCTTTATAGCACCAATGTTCAAGCTCAGCAAGCCCGGCCTTAACATACTCACCGTTGCTAAATGAGCAGCATTCTCGTCTTAGTAAGAGGCTACAATCATGATAGATGCTTGTTAAAGAGTAATTAGCATGCAGAAATTGACAACATACTCCCAGAAAACTAAAGAGATGATTGGTATCAGTCTGAAACAAACCTGTTGAACAGTTGGACATTGACGAACGAGAACACTTGTGTAAATACTTTGCGAACTAAAAATGGAGGTACCTAAAGTATATCTCGATCAATTAAAAAATGACAGTAAAAGAAAGAGCATGAACGAAACATCGGTTAGTTAAATAAAGTTCTTACATGATTGGCTTTCAACATGTCCAGAAAATTGGAAAGGCTTTTGACAATTCCTTGCCAGTGAGCAATCAGAATCTCTTGAGCAGCAGCATTTGCAAGGGTACGTGCTGTCCCTTTAATCAAGCTTGCCCTTGATATCCTTGGTGCCTAGTTCATCCAGGAATTTAAATAAGTCAAGAAGTCCAACAACATATAAGAGTGGAATGTGGACACTTTAGCAGTTTTATTTAATACAATTACATAATGAAAAATAGGCAAGCACCTGGATGCATAACCCAAGCATGGGAGAGATCTCTTTCTTCAGATTATCACGGATCATTCCATAAATCTTTTCCACATAAGCTGTTAGCTGCTGCTTGAATAGAAGAGCGGGATATTTGGCTTCAACTTGGCGTAAGGTATCCATCCCACCTGGTGAATCACCATCAATGAGAGAAAGATTCACCCCTTGAGGAGTTCCACGAAAACTCTAGAAAATATACATGTTAGCTTTAATCGTGCACTTTGAAAGTCTAAAGAAAGAAAGATGAACTTACATTATTAGTTTAGAACTGCTAATAGATTATATTCGATCTTATAATGTGGATTCACTCATGTGAATTATGACATAGTTGAAAGACTATGATCCAATTAGGAATTCTATTAGTTTAAGCTAAATGACAAAAGACCCGCATCCTAATTCAAACATTTTACCTGTGTCATTCTCCCAAAAAGAGTTGCGGATGATGATCGTCGATGCTGTGGAGCCATCCCAGCAGCCCCACTAGCTTTCAATGTACGTTGAAGCAGAAGCAGCAAAGTTGATGCATTTGACAACCAATAAGCTAATATATCATTGTTATCCTGGGTTTTCTATTAAATAGAAAATTAAGGTATTAATCTCCCCCGAAAAGATGCAATTCCAAGCCTTAACAAAAAGCAGCTCACATTTTAAAAATCCCAATTATATTAACCAAGATCCATTTTTTGAACCACATATTTAGCTTTCTAACATTCTACCTCAATAGCTTGGCCGATGGTCTGTATTATCCGGTCAAAGATGCTGGTCCTCTCAACTTCAAAAGACCGCCATTGCCTAAGACATTTGTAGATTATGCATGCAGCAACAGGCCTTCCCTTAGAAAAGCCCAAATGCTGAGCAACACAGCGGATGAGCAAGTCTTGATACTCTTGTTGTTTCTCGTTGAGGGATTTTTGAGGTCTTCCCTCAACCTCATGACCATCTCTTGCATTTAGTGAATGACTGTGAAGATCCTGCAATTATTGCCGCACTAATTATTCAAGGACAGTTATGAGGGGGGGAAATTCTGATGTGCCTACATTATGAAATGTGGTAATAAATCCATATGGGCCCATGAGGGTCCTGTGCGGGTTTAATGGGACCCAAGTGAATATATTTTGATTTTGTAATGATGGTACCGTAAAGTGCGTCGATACAGACTAGATTAGGAGAACAGAGAACTCATGTGATGAAGGATATATGTAATCGAGAAAATGATGCAAATATAGAAACTTACTGATGTGCTAATGGTACTTTTTGTGCTTTCAGTTCTCTGTCAGCATTAGAAATGGGATAAGACATAACTAGATAAGTGACTGATAGAATTTGATGTCCAATAGGAAAGAAATAAGGTCCGGCTTGAGTGAGTACCTGAATGATTGACCTTGACCGCACTGATTGCAATTTCGTACTTTGTGCCATTGCTAAAGCTTGTTGACGAAGGACTTTATTTTCCGACTCAAGGTTGGCCATCTTCTCTTCAAGCCTATATATGCAAAGGACAAGAAAATCACATTGGCGTCTTTAAAATGTTCATGAATGTAGGATCGAGGCACTCATGTGAAAAACTCTTTTTGGTGCAAGTAAAATCATGTTCATCCAAACCAAAGGCAATTCATTTTGTTTTCTTCCTCGTGATTCACATTGGTACCCATTAATTTTAGGATCTAATACCTAACAACAAAAAATGAGCGGAAAACAATACCAATGAGGAAATGGCCACACCATCTGTAGGCAGTATGTGTTGATTTATCGTAAAAGTCTATTTTGTGCTTGTGAGAAGTGATTTGCTTCAGAACAATAAATAAAAAAGCCAGTTTATTCTGACTCATATCGCGTTTTCCTGTGCATGTGAGATGTGATTTGCTTAAGAAATTATAGATAAAGTGATTAATAGTTAAAGTTTGAAGTGTTTGAAAATAAAGGAGATTTTTAGAAAGTAGAACTTAGGGTGTTTGATAAATTTTTTTTGGTGTGTTATTTAGGTAATATATTATATAAAAAGTGATAAGAAGTTTTAACTTCTAATCACCCTTTCCTGTATGTAGAGCTTTTTTGCTTTGAAATGTTTGAATTTAAGAAGAAACACATATTTGAAAACACTACTCTTTAGTTTTTTTAAAAACAAAAAGTACAAAAGTTTATTTATGCCATGACAAACACTGTTATGAGAGACTATCTAACTTCATGGCCAAGGTTTTAAGGTTGAGACTCACACTCCAGCTCCTATATGTTTGTGGGCTTGCTTAAATTTGAAAGATATTCAGCTCATGATGATAGACTGAATTTCTATGGAAAACTAAGGATTACTTGCTTAAAGAAGCACAAGGTTACCTTGTGACTGACTCCTGAAGTTGTTGAACTCTTTTTTCAGTTTCTTCCAACTTTAGATCCTTTTCTTCACTTGATTTCAACAATTCTACGCATTTACTTTCAGAATCATCTCCCCTTTGTTTTGCGGATTGCAATTGAACCTATCATGAAGCACCAGTACATTTAGTAAGGTAAAATATGTTTAAAATCTTTACTTTTCAAAACGGATGTTCAAACTATGAACATTAACTAACCTTCAAATTTTCAACTTCTGCAGTTAAGGAATCAATTTTTTCTGTATCTTCAACGGGTACAGGTGTCTCTTTGACAATTGAAGACGCTTCTTCAATAGCTTTCTTAGCCGCTTCCCGTTCACTGATTAACAGTGCATTTGTTTCTTCCACTTTGCTTTGCGACGCTTGTAAGGAACTCTGCAACTTTGCAATTTCTTGGCCTTTTGCCTCTTCCAAATCTGTCTGCAGAAAGTTGTTAAGTTTATCAAAGAGCAGAGACACGTATGGTAAAAGATCAAACATCCACATGATGAATATCATTACCCTTAGCCTTTTCTCCAGCTGGACACGCCAGGTAAGTTCTTCAACCATTTTTTCAAGCTTATCCTTTGCTTCTTTAAGTGCCCCCGTTTCTCTTGAAGCCTAAAAATATATAAAAAGTCCAAATCTTTAAGGGACCAAGTAGTGAGGTTTCAGTTTATCAATAAAAAGTCACACAGTGACATTTTAAAAGGAAATCTAAAATTAAGACGAGTAAAATAATATAAAGTGGAATTTTTTTTTTCCCAAAAAAAATGCAACACCAGTAAGACAGTAATATCCCACAAGTAGCTAATTTGGGGTTTTTGTGAGGGAACAATATGTTTTAGGGAAGCAATGACATATCTTTTCCTACATGGCCTTAAACGCCCCACATCAAATTATTAAGCCTTTAGTTAGACTAACTAATCAATTCGATTCAATCTTTTAGTGGGTTGAGTGTGTGCATTATGACCTAGTCGAACCACCCAAAAGCAATTATGAAATTCTACCGATGCTACATATATGCATGGCCAGAGAAACCGTTGACCCCACCCAGGGTAGTCTAGTTTTGAAATCCACATATAAACTGCAAAGTCTTATTGGAACTAAATTAATTGTCTATTCCAAATACTACCATCTTTAGTTTTCGAAGCTCTCTCCTTGCAACCCTTCCCCTCCATCTGCACTGTGTTACAATTGATGCCCTTATGAGTTTCTTGTAGTATGAGAAAGCTCTATGACCATGCCAATGTGCCTGCACAGTTATCAACCACTAATTAAGAACGACAACAACAACATCAAAAGCCTTAACTACTAATAAATAAATTAGCAAAAATTGAAAACTCAATATTGTGGTGAACAAATAGAGAAACCAATAACAGACTTGTATCATAGTTGCCGCCTTGTTTTGGTTTTTGTATCTGAAACTATTGCGGGCCGCCATTGCCCGCATCCCTGTCTGAACAGTAATTACTGCATACTGAAGATTCTTGTATGACTTCCAGGCCATGCGTCCACGCAATTTTTTCTGTATCTTAAGAGAAGCAGAAACCCTTTGCATATGTTCAAACAATTTGCAAGCGATCCAGGCTGTTAAATGTTGAAAAAAGATTAAAAAAGTTAATTTAAAAATATATTGTTTGCAAACAAAATCTAAAACTATACAAAATAAATCTATAAAGTCATCGACTACTCATCTAGTCATCCTATTAGGTTAATATTTCTGGATGGAACTCCGAGTCTTTAAATAGTACCAAAACATATTATGCTCTTGATGATTAAAAATGAGCACAAAGACTTCAAGATCGGTTTCTCCAACATTTTATGTTTGAACATTGACATGCAAAAAAATCTCAGAAGTAAAGAAGCCAAACCTCGACATGCAGATTGCATAGATACTGCAGCCTCTTGTAAGGCAAGAAAGTATTTCCGGGCAATATGAGTTCTAGTTTTCCTTTGAATTGTCTTGGCTGCATTGTTTAGCTTTTGTGCCCTCCTAGAATCAAGCTCAGCCATCTGACCAGCTCGCAGGAAAACTTTTGTCTTACCAATCTGCATATTTATTCATTCTGTTTAAGAGAAAAGATTCACAATTCGGAAGGCAATGCTAGGACATGATATTACATGTGATGGAATATTACATTACATCACTTTAATATCATTTTGAAGTCACAAAGTAAGGTGAACAAAAGATATCATATTCAGGAAGTTGCATGTTTACATGTGATGGAATATTACATTACATCACCTTTAATATAAGAAAAAATTATATGATATTGTAGCTTTAAGGTAACATTGATTTCCCAGAAAAGCAAACTTTAGATAACCTGAGAACCTGCAAGCCCCATCTTATCCAAAATAGCTTTGCATGCAACTTTTTCATCATAACTGTCAATACAAATAAAATCAAGTTTAACATAATTATGCAAAGGATAATGAAATTTAAGTAGAACACTAGAATGACAAAATACATATGATGAAATACTACTCCGCACGACCCAAAGAAATATCTTCGTGTGTGGCGGTGTGGTTAACGTAAAACCTTTTGATTTTGCCGAAGTACAACTCTTACATCAAGAAATCCTACTTTCATTTTTATATGTTAATTTTTTATTTAGCTGTGTTCATCTTGGACATGCATGGAACTTTTTGGGAAACTACACAAAAGTTAGCTCTGGCTTTTCAATAAAAAACACTTCTTCTTGGGACAAAATCTTTTGAAAAGACTCATTCTTTTGGGCAGAGGGAGCATCAATTTCTTGCTAGGGAGATAAACAAGATTATTACCTTCCTTCCAATACCTCGGGAGCAAGAAGACCGAAACGGTTAAGAAATTCAAAAAAGGTCTTACGAGTAGGGTAGCCAGCGCAACTAATTCTAATCGCCTCGAGGACTCCCTGAAATGAGGTCCACCATAATTCATTAGAAGAGTGTTAAGTGTTAAAAAATCAGATGTACCGTGCGAAATGTCAGTTATGTACTCACGCCACAACGCAGTTGCTGCAAGATGTTGACATTCTCAAAGATGGAGGGTTTTAGAAGATTGTTTGGCTTCACACATCTGATGTAATGAGGTTCGGTGGAGCTCAGAGTCTCCAACAATTGTTGGAGTTGTAGCTGCACCAATCAAACTAGAACGGTTAGAAGTTTCACCCAATTGAATTTCTCGTGTTTAGCACAGCAAATCATTTCCGGATAAGTCTTTCCTCTGTTTGACACCAAAAAATATTTCCCTGAGGTAAAATGAACTTTTGTGGAAATTGACATCTTGCTTTGAGAACGGGAAGTCATTTTCCCCAAATAAAATTTTGTTCCCTATATTTTCTGGTTAAACATTATATTTATACATACAACAACTTACTTTTTAGGGGGAAAAATCCCGAAGTAAATGAAATTTTGTGGGAAATGACATCTTGCTTTTGAGAACATGAAGTCATTTTCCCAAATACTCCGTAAAAAAAAGGTGAATGCTACGGTACCCCACAAATAAGTAAGGGTAACAAGCCTACCATGAATTTCATTGGTCTAACCCACTATTTCATTAGTTATTCATGTTTAAATTATTCAATTGCAATATTATAATTGATCCACATAGGCAAGGTACGACACCTTGAGGGTACCGTACAAATTGCCTATAAAATATGTTCTATTTTTCTGGTTAAACATTATATTTATACGTAGAACAGCTTACTTTTCAGAAATCATTTTCCTCAAAAAACATGTCCTACGATTAGCTATTTACATGGAATCAAACAGAACCTTATATCATAAGAAAAGGCATACTCACTTCGGAAGATTTGGATGAATTTTTTATGAAATATATTCACGTGCATAACAGGCTAATGGTTAATTCCACCTTACCTTAAAACGAGAGCCAATTGATGAAAACTTTGAAGATTTGGATGATTTGTTTGTCTCATCGGGAATAGGAGGGAAAAGTCCAGCTACAAATGAGCATCTAGAGCCACTTAACAAATCTTGATGCTCAGGAACAACATAGTCTTTGTTCTTGTCCAAAAACTGATCAGATTGGTATAGAACCTGGCAGCAAACAATGATAACAACCCTATAAACACAAAACTGAATCCTAGTCGTACTTTATTTGAGATACACATCTTATTTAAGTACATCGGGAACTGGAAGTAACCCACATATAAGAAATGAACTTCTCAACCTTATCACTTAAGTTATAAGGTTAAGACTTATACTCCATTTCTTGTATGTTTGTGCGCATATTGAATTTAATTTAAAATCATCTCACATACCTCTCCAGCATAATGAGCAATTGCGAAGTCAGTACGAGACAGTTTTGGTTTGACAAAGCGCTTGTGGTTCTTGAATGTCTGATAAAGCTTTTGAGCGAAAGTTTCATGAGTTGACTTGGGAAACATACTGCAAACAGGATAGGTCCATCGAGAAAGAGAATAGAGGATTTAATTGGTTGTATTTGAAAATCGCATGCTGTATGAAAAATCAATTCACATCATATTATATGTTAGTTAGTTGCATACCAGGCTTCATCAAGAAGAGCAATGACACCCCCAGGTTTCTGCAAAACGGAAGCACAAAGGATTTCATGGAACTCCTACTTCAAAAGGTAACATATGAAATGTGTAGTAGATAGGTCTACAACACATGCTCCATGACAAAACTCATACAAATATACAATAATGCAAAAAAGTTTCATTTAAAGTGAGAAATACAATTTCAAACATGTTTTTTGTGAAGGGAAACTCAATCCCAAAAAACTTCTTTGTGTATAGAAGGTATCCCAAATGAGTCTTTATCTACGGATGTGAAACTTTCATATGCTTTCAACAAACAAGGAATAGATACCACAAAGTATGAAACTATTGAGGAAAGAACTTCTCAACCAAAAATAAATAAAAGGAACCTTTTCAATCAGATCTAGGACATCTTGGTTATCAACAAACTCAATATAGCTCCAATCAATTTCTTCTTTTGTATATTCCTCTTGTTCCATCTTGAACACGTGCTGAAATAAATGGTAGTATTGAGAAACGCTATTACGAACAAGGGAACTGTGAGTACATGAAATGTCATCAACTATACCTGGTTAAAATGCTGTTGCAGCTTCTCATTTGTAAAATTAATGCAAAACTGTTCAAAACTATAGATAAGCATGACCACAAAATTAGCCATAAGTCCAATTAGTTACTCCATCCAGCTCCCAATAAGTGCCACTTTGAAGCAAACTTTTGGTTCACAATCTTTTTTGTTTTATAAAACCAAGAAAGATTTGGTGTTTTTTTACATATCTAACCCTTTTATAAAACTAGACAGCATAAAAATGATAGCATGGGTATTTTGAGAGGGGTATTGTCAAAAACATCCATTAAATGATTTTTAAATATGTGCAATTTCCTCCAAAGTTGACACTTATTTGAAACTAGAGGGGTCTATACATGTTTCTTTATACCATGTAACAAAATAACAATCACAACATACCTATTGCTTTTAAAACTTTCAAAACCATAAATGTCAAGAACTCCAATAAGTGACTTTGAGTTTGGATCTTGACCAATCGAACTGTTTATTTTGTCTACCAACCTATCAAAAATTAACAGTAAGCAAACACCCTTGGTATCAAAATATTAACTTTCTGTTACACAACTCAGTAAGCACTTAGCAAGACGGACGTAATATTACCAGTCAAATAAGCGACAATATATAGTCTTAGCTAAACCATCTCTACTGACTGCTGCATTCTCAGGATCAAGACTTCTTTTAATAACCTCTTCAGGGGTGACCATCACACGCTTTAATAATGCATCTTCTAATGCATCAGAGTCACACCTGATAAAAGAGGTTTATAATAAATAAATAAATTTTGCTTATCTTCTAAAAAATAAATTATCAAAAGTTTTATTCTCATACATTAGAAGCTCTGCTGTTGTTTTGAGATGAAACTTTGATTTGTCATCTTTAAGAACAGATGAATCAATTTCTTTTCCCTTTGAGAATGCAATATTTCCGAGATGAAGAATGGCAGCCACAACTCTAAATATTGCTTCCTGTGAAGAGAAAGAGAGCAACTTGTTGGTTTCGATTCAAGCAAATTAAAAAGGGGGATCAAACAAGAGATATAGAGAGATATGCTACAAAAGTAATACTTGATGGGTATCACTGATTCCAACAACATCCATAGCTCTTCGTGTTGCAAGATAATCATGAGCATCACTGACCCCGACCAGCTCATAGCAACTTGACTGATTCAAGTAATGAAAGGACTTAGGCTCCCCTAGCTTGTATTTTTCAATTTCCTGTAAAAAGAACCCATATTGTGTATCAACAAATTCAATAATGGTGGCTCATTGGAGTGCCAATGTGCCGTATTCATACTTAACATACGCACGCATACAGAACGGAAATGTCCGAAAAGGAAGATAGGTTTGGGAGGAAATCACCTCCGGCGGAGCTGCACAGAGAAGGTAGAAACAATGGTAGTTCCTCTCAGGGTCTGAAACCTGGCAAACACGAGATCTCTCGAGGAGATAAGTTCTAATAGCTGCTCCCGATATTTTTGCATTCTTGTCGAATTGAATCTCAACAAATTTTCCGAAACGACTGCAACATATACACACACAGAGATGAGCTTAATTAACAAGAATCTATTCCGTTGTTTCCTCTTGAAGTAATCATCAATGAATGAGTTAATCACTGTCACTGCATGATTGCAGCATTACCTGGAATTGTTGTTTCGAACAGTCTTTGCATTACCAAATGCTTCAAGGACTGGATTTGACTGCAAATGCACCCAAAAAAAGTAATTCTTGTGCACGAATATTCTGTTATCTCAGTAACATTCATATATTCATATATTTCTCTAAAAGTAGTTGAGACGTGAGTAAAGGGTCAGTTTGGTGCTCGAAGTTGCAAAAACGGCGTCAAATAAGTTCTTATATAGAAGATTCTGTCCGGACGTGCTATTTGAGGTAGCTCCCGGTGGAATTTTGTGATAATTTTTTTTGAGCATCTTATTCATTAAGTCTAGTTTACTCATACCAAATTTCAGCTAAAAATTCAATCGGGAAGACATTCAAATGAATTCTTGAAGATAACAGCGTTTTTAACGGCACAGTTATCTTCAAGAATTCATTTGAATGTCTTCCTAATTTAATTTTTATCTGAAATTTAGTATGAGTAAACTAGACTTAATGAATAAGATGCTCAAAATATTTCATCAAAAAATTCTACCGGGAGCCACCTCAAATGACACGTCCGGACAGAATCTTCTATATAAGGACTTATTTGACCCCTTTTTTGCAACTTCGATGACCAAACTGACCCTTATCCCGAAGAATATCTAAAGAGAATATAAATTATTGACAGATATGACGGGGAGATATTAAAATATTACGAAGTAGGTTGGAATGAAGGATAAATTTTAAAAAAGTATTTGTAGTTGTAATAGTGTATTATTTTCAACATTATTGTTCTCATGATGAAAAGATTTATAAATGAGAACATTATTAAGTTACGGATGAAAAAGGAAAAATGTGAAGATATTAATGTTACCGAAAGTATTAATTTTAAAATTCTTCTTATAAACGGATAAATGCATTGTTCACAAATACTACGTATGTTCTATTGAATTTGTTAATCCATTGGATCTAAATCTGCTGCATTAATAAATGAGTGAGAAAATTCAAAAAAATGGGGTGTTAATAAATGTTTACTTTTTTTCTTCTTTTTTTTTCCTTGACAAAAGAATGGAAAATTTTTTTAAAAATGTTTTGTATTTACCTCAAGTTGTACACACTCGTGTACTGATTTTGTGTGCACACACAAATTTTTTCATTTTTGTAAAATAAATTGTAAAATAACTTGTCAGTAATATAAACAATTTACTTTACAAAAACGAAAAAAATGTGGTCGTATAGACAAAAATGGGCGACCACGAACATGCTTTTTTAAGTTATATTTACCTCCAAGACTTGTTGTTCGACGGTGCGACCTTCAGTACCTTTGCGGCCCCCCAAATATGCAAGGTAGCGCATAAGCATTTTGGTTGTTTCGGTCTTACCAGCCCCACTCTCCCCGCTAACCAAAATTGAGTTGCTTTTCCCCTCGTTAAGCATTGCCCTATTTAATTTAATTTTTAGGTTAATCATTACAATTAGTTAGTCAAAAGAAATTGAATGAGCTCTCATTTCTTCATGCATATGGAATGAAGATTGATTACTTAATTAATGGATAGAGTGAAGGATGTGACCTGAAAGCAACATCAGCAATAGCAAAAACATGGGGACTAAGTTCTCCAAGAGGGGCTCCTTTGTATTGTTCCATCATGTGGACATCGTATATATGTGGCAGTTTTTGGAATGGGTTTATTGCTATTAGTATGCTCCCAGTATATGTCTGCCACAATATTATAAAATTAATTAGCTTAGTATGAATCATTAGTCATTAATTAATCATTGAACGCCGGGGAGGGTAGCTCAGCTCGTGGAGAGAGGGTGCTACAAGGGATTGAGTATGCGTTCAATTCCATGTATAGAATTGGGCTGGAATCCTACACACTCTCCGCCAATCTCTTATCAGCTCAATTTACTTTTTCTCAAATAAGTGTTCAGACATAAGTGTTCAGACGATTTCGGGGAGAGCTTTCTTAAAATATTACTAGTACTAAAATACAACTTGTGGAACAAAATGAGACTTGAGTGACTACTACAAGTACAAATTTATAGTCATTACCGTGTAAAACTTGAATATAGTTAGTAACTAAAAGTTATCATTTCACATTTTGGTCCATAACTTAAATTTAATCATATATATTATATATTATGTAATATTATTTCTTCTTTTTTCAATGACTGAGTACCTGGTAGCTAAAATAGACATGTATGTAGATAAATAGATAGATGATCTAGCTTACATAAATTTCATTTAGTTGGTATCTGGTTTTCAAATTTTGCAACACTCCAGGTTCATGAAGATAGGATAGCTTGGTCATGTCGTCTACTCCTCCCGCAGGTGCATCCTCGTCTTTGGGATATATTTTTGATAAATTTGCAACCACCTACATATGTTAATATTATTTCACACCATTGTTACTATTGTTCGGATACATAACTAAATAAAATGGAGAAAATTATTGCAATTATAATGTAAATGCGCTCAGGGGCATAATCGGAGCAATATATTGGGCTTGCCCGTACAAATATTTTCTTGATTTTCTTACACGAATTCTTTTACCTAATAATTTTAAACATTTGAAATTCGACGTCGGTATGGGCCTAGCATGGCCCCTCAACTACGCCCCTGAATGCGAGTACGTACCTGTCTCCCATCACTTGTGTCGACATGAACTTCTTCACCATTGATCTTTGAAACACGCCCATCGATCCAAGCAAGTGATGAATCCTCAATCCAAATTTGAGAACCTACTATTATATTCACAGATGTTCCTTGCATTCTATTGTGATTATGCTCTGGCCTTGGTCGAGATCAGAATCATGTCACCTCTTGATTGATGTAATGAAGGTTTTTGTCGATGTGAAAGAGACAAAATTTTGTATCATGCATTCAAAGCTGATTATGATAATGAAGAAGATGGGAAATAGTAGCTTGTTGAGTAATAATTGTTTCTATAAAATAGGAAAAAGTAATTAAAAGGTGTTATTTGGGACAAGGAAAAAATTCATTCTACGTAACCAACGATGTCAACGTGTGTTGTTAAATAACAAGCCAAGGAAATAGGAACATGGTAAATGAAAGCCATGCATGCACTTAAATTTTCACTATAATTATTCCTACACCACTAAGTAGCTATTATTAAGGAAAAACATTTGCTTATAGTGGAATACTTTTAGTTGTATTTTTGTTATCTTTAGGCTTTAACCTTTAGGAATTGGTTTGCTAGCTAGCTCTTAATAATTAAAAAAAAATAACTTTTTTAGTGACATGTAAATAAAGTTCCATCGGAGTTAATGTTTGCAATATTTGAATCAAGAAGCATATACTAACATTAGATAAAAAAAAATTATGTGAAATTAAATGTATACAATTTATTTAATTTGGTCCAACCATTTTAAGAAACCATTTTGGACAACAATAACTGTTTTGTGACTTTGTCTTAGGATAAATCTAGTATTTTGGCGATTTCCAATCTGGATCGGAATTTGATTACCCTACCCTACGTCCTAAAAAAGGTAAAGTTTAATCAAAATACAATTTCTTATTTTTTCAAATTTAGAAACAACATATAGATCATTAATGCGATACTAATTTTATTTTACCAAAGAAAAAATGATACTAATTTTATAAAAATGTCAATACAAAGCTTAACATGTTAGACTTGTTTCTTCTCTGCTTTTACAATGTTATTGAAAAGTCTATCTTGATTTAATTTAAAAACAAAAACCCTTACTGATAAAAAGATTATTGATATGATTTTCTTAAGAAAAGAGAGTTGGACTAGTTGGACTAGTTTGAAGTATTGTTATTACGGGTTTTGTGTTGAGAAAATAATCACCCCTCTCTTAAATCTTAAACAATGTAACAATCGTTTGCTCTAATCATGTTGGGTCATGCATCAATAAATAAAGCATTAACATATTTTAGGCTACATACATAAGATTTACACATCCACAAAGCCATCAACCCAAATTTCCCGACACACAAATTACAATATATAATTGTCAGAGGGGTTTTTCAAGAGGTTAAACTTGTTCTAAATAACACGCCCCTCAATTTATGGGCTCCAATTTTTAAAAATTTATTTGTATTATATAGTAGTGTTATATATTAATCCTAATCAGTAAAATACAGCGGTAAGGAAGAAAAATGCACATTCATCATTTTTTCATCGACCCTTTTAGTTGTCTTTTACTTAAATTGTTTGATAATGAGTTGTGTTGCTTTAAATCAAGTATTAAGTAACTTTTAGAAAATCTTGAGTTGCATTGTTTAATGAGTATTCGATAGATTTGAGTAGAGAAAAATGTCAAAATGGTACTTAAACTTGTCATAAGTAGCATAAAGAGCACTTCACCAAGCAACAGACACCCCAAAGTACATAAAATTGATATTTTTGGGTTGGTTTAGTACATCTTTAATTCTAGTGTTAAAACGTAAAAACAGCTGAGATGGCATGAAAGAGCCGTTTATTTTGTACCGTTACTATCCAAGCCAGCAAATCACTCTTATAAACCCTAATTTCTTTCTGCAGCTTTACTACATCTTCTCCTAATTTCATTTGTTGTCTTCTCTCCTCCTCTACGTAAGCTACTGTATCTCCTTTCGTTTCTTCCTTTGCTTTCACTGTTCTTCGACTTGCTGGTATTGTTTTTGTTTTATTGTCTTCTTCACGTACTTTATCTTCTTCTTGTACTTTATTGTTTTTGTTTTATGGCTTAAGCTTTGGTCTTAATTTTATATCATTTGCAGAGGAAGCATGTCTTATGGGTATTGTGCTTGTGGAAATCCTATGAGAATAGTGACTTCATGGACAGATGACAGTCCCGAGAGACGTTTGTTACATGTTCAAGGTTGAAGGTATGGTCTTTGAAGATGTAGAGATAGCTCAAACCCTAAACGTACCTTTCTTGCGATTGATGATTCTCCATTATGGAATCGCTTCACCGAGTTGCTCGCGTTTCTCCTTCGGTCACCGTCCAGCCTTTGTCAACTGCAGTTTGCTTTGAAGATACTATACCTTCGTATTACCTTCGTATCAGGCGGGTAAAATCTTATGCTGTGTTTGGGTAAAGTAAACCTAGTGCAATATAGTAAACCTAAGTTTTAATAAAACTAGGTTAAACTAAGTGAACCTAGGTTCATGGGTAAAATAGTGTTTGTAAATAAATAAGGGAAACCTAGGTTAATGTAATAAATGTTGTTTAGATGGAGGTACTCTAGCTCATTTTATGTTAAACGAGAACTTATGGCCTGTTTGTTTGGGGGTTAACCTAGGTTATTGAAGGTTCAATTTCTAGTTAACCCCGTTTGTTTGTATTTTTGCAACAAGAACCTAGGTTATGTGTTAACCTCGCTTAACTTCCGAGAACCTGGAAGAACCTTAAATTGAAGAACCTCCGAATCAGGGGGTTTTGGAGGTTAAGTTCTCGTTTAACCTAAAATGAGCTAGACTACCTTCATCCAAACAACATTTATTGCATTAACCTATGTTCACCTTGTATATTTCCAAACACTATTTCACGTATGGTCTTAGGTTTACTTTATTGCACTGGGTTTACTTAACTTCACTTTATCCAAACAGAGCATTAACCTCCAAAACCCTCCACTTTGGAGGTTCTTCAATTTAAGGTTTTTCCAAGTTTTCGGAGGCTATGTGAGATTAACCCATAACCTAGGTTCTTGTTGCAAAAACACAAACAAACGAGGTTAACTAAAAATTGAACCTCCAATAACCTAGGTTAACCCCCAAACAAACGGATCATTAGGGTTTTAGTTTGATTGAAGACTAACTACAAAGGTGACATGTTTCTATTTAAAACACTTCAGCAACAATTTTAGCCATGTCGTCATTTTTAAATGCCCGTATAACGGAAGTACTTAACTAACATGGAAAACTCGAGTTTATGTACTTCAGGGTATCAGATGCAAAATGATGCACTCTTTATGCTATTTTTTTTTTGAGAGAAGAAAATTGTATTTAAAAAGCAAAGGAGAGTACAAAAAGGTCAAAACGAAGGAAAAGAAAGCAACAAGAGAGAAATACTATAATCTACGAAAATTTAAAAACCCCAACCCTAAATATTTGAGGTCCCTCCCAATATATCTCTAGTGCTTATTAGAGTCTTCAGAATTCATTCTTGTTTGGGATCTTGTTCTCATGAGGTGAGAACGGTGTTTCTTTTTCCTGTATATCTTCAATTGAGTGTTCAAATTCTCCGTAGGCAAGCAGTTTTCTCTCGTGACCAACATAGCTTTGAATCAAATATCCTGATTAGTATCAAAATCCCAAAGATCATCCGTCAAAGAAATAGGAGCTCTCTTTTCGCTTTCTGAAGCATGGCCAAGAAAGTCATCCCCGAGTGTGAAAAGAAATGCTCACCAATAGCACCATCATAATCAAAAGCTTCTAAATACGGGTTACCTGAAAAAACATCTATAGTTTTCTCTTCATCGGTAAGTCTCTTATTTGAAGTTTTTGCCTTCTTTTGTTTACCTAAAACATCTATATATGACAAGTTTAAGTACCATTTTGACACTTTTCTCGATTTGAGTATATGTATTAAAATATATTTTTCTCGATATTTTAACACTTTTCTCCATTTTGACATCTATATATTTTTTAGTTTTTTATATTACAAAAATGATATTTGTACTCACTCTTATACCCACTTTTGTACCCACCCATATTTGTGAAGGTCTTTTGGGGGGGTTCACAGAAAATAATTTGCACAAACAAAATATTGTCTGTGAATTGAGTTCACGGACAAAAAAAACATTTCACAAACATGGTGGATATAAGATGGGTATAAGAGTGAGTACATCAAGCATTGTTTTTATACTAATGTGGGGGTCCAACGAGGCCCCCTCAGGACCCTCAATTTGGATTCTCTGTAGAAGACTAGCAGTGCACCATCTTCACCAGTAGGTTATTCATCTCCTTCCTGGTTCCAATCAAGAAGCTGAGTCCGAGTGCCGGTTCAGTTCATAGCTTTACAAAGAATTTACGAGTCAGACTCGAGTTGGTATCCTCTGAACCCGAGCTCTTTACACCAATTTATGGCCTCAGCGATTTCCTGCAATTTAGCCTGAAGGACCGAGCATGCTTTTATAGGGAAGGAATGGTAGCAGTGATGAACTTGCTCTCTGAATCCCGGGTATATAGTTCTTGATCATTCTTTAGAATTTTAGCTCCCTGATTTGATAATCACCATTAATGAGAGTGAACTTTTTTATCTGATTGCAAACATATGCTTCACTCAAACGTTTCTTCTCCCAAATAGCCATGTTCATTCCTGTCCAAATGTGCTAAAGACTATTGTCTGTCATAATGTGTCTTAACTCTAAGACACCCTCCATAGACCATAGTGTGTAGATTGGCACTCAGCCACCATCAGAATAAAACTTGCTTTATTTCTGGTTGTACTGGGACCTGCACTTGCAAAGTGCTAAAAAAGTATGCCCATGTAGGTCTAACTTTAGGACAAGAGTAAAAGTAGTAATCCTATGTGGCTATGTCTGCTCATCTTTGAAGCAAATAGGGTACATCTGTGTATGAAATCTGCTAAGATTATTAGGGAAAGGCAAGAAAGAATGTAGAAATTTCCACAAGAAATTCTTGATGTTGAGCTTGTGATGAGGGAACCAAACTTGTTTATATGAAAAAGAGGTGATGATTTATTCCTTGTGTGGTTGTAGGCTGACTTCATGCTAAAAGCTCTCTCGACAAGGTATACATAGTGGTTGACCAGACTCAATATAGCAGATAAGTTCTTTTCCCACTTCATTAGTTCATTTATTGTACAAATTTGCTTTCATGTGGCAGAGCCAACCAATTTAGGATAGGGTTGGGACTTGGAACCGTAAAAAACCGATCCGATCCGAACCAGATAATTTTGGACTTCTGCCTTTTAGCTTCAGTTCCTATAGTATTTGACCAGTTCGGTTCCCGGTCGGTTCCGGTTCCGAATGCTGGAACTGAAGTTCTTATACATTTGCATGAGT